GTAACCTTTATATTTCAAAGATATTCAGGCATTTTGATGCTTTTCAAAATCACATGCCTGCTGAAACTTAAGAAAGCATAAAAGTGAAATGTTTTCTCTTATTAAATATTAACTTTTGCTCTCATGGAAACAGTCATTTATCCCAGATGAATGCTCTTCTTTAAGAGAAGAAATCATTAAAATGCCAACAATAAGCTGGGAACTCTTAAAAGTGGATAGTTTTTGCAATAACCTAAATATGGACACCATCTATACACTTCAACATAATTTATTGTATTTCAGCTCTAAGCACCTAAAACATGTTTTGTTTAAAAAATGAATGGCACCCTTTTGACTTCCTAATAAATTCAAAGACTCAACACGTGCCTTCTAATTTAAGGCATGCTCACTCAAAACAAAGGCACTGATGGGATCCAAACACCAAACCTTTTAAGTGTCTACTGCTTGTAGCTTTCCATGTTACAGTTTTCAGACAGCAGTAATTCCTGTTGCCTGGCTACTGATACTTTCAATAATTATTTCAAAATACGTATTTGCATGAACAAATAAGCTGCCAGTTCCTACTTGATGACCTAGTTTCCAGATAAATTGAGTTTCAGCCAGGGGATCTTCATTGGCTCCCTTTAAGTACTTCTCTCAGTAGAAACAACCCCTGACATTCCCCTCTCCCTCAAAAAACCCACCAAGTGGCTTTCTTTCCATCTGATAGCTTCCCTTTTTTTTTTTTTTTTTTTTTTTTTTTTTTTTTTGAGTTTTTGGGCCCCCCTCCCAGCACAAAACAATGTGGGGGGGGGGCTCTGGGGGGGGTTCTTTCCATCTGATAGCTTCCCTTTTTTTTTTTTTTTTTTGCCTTTATTATTCTTGTTCTCCAAAGACTTCCTTAAAAGTCCTTAGGTATTTGCAACTCAAATTTAGATATTTACATTTGAAGTTAATTAATTAAGAAAAAGCCAAATGAGTCTTTCAATGTCTCCTTTATAATTATCTGTGAAAATTAAATACTTAAAATGGGTTTGGGGTGTTTTATTAGGATTATGGAAAAATAACATATGACACCTAGAGCTCAATGCAAGTTAGGTACCTCTCCAGGGCAGTAAACAGCATCTCAGAACAACACCAAATTGGAACATCTCCAATTGGGAATTTGAATCAGGTGGTGCAAAAAGACAATGATTGGCAAGAATATAGCTTTGGAAACTTTATTCACTAGTTTTATTGCTGCCAAGCAGGCCAAGCAGAGATTAGAGTCATCGAATACCTAAAACTGGTGCCTGGAACTGGATTTACTCAGTGCACTGGTTAGAGAATTATTCACTTAGCCAATTAATGAGTCACTAGTAAAGGAATGGTTAGTAATCAGCTGATTTAGTTTTCAGAGGTCAAGCTAGAGGTAGGAGTAACCCAGCAGAGACCTTTCCTGTTAATATGCATCCCTTTTGTAAGCTGCTTAGTCTGTGTCAGATTTTGAGCATGTAAATTTTCATAGTGTATTCTTAAAGACCAACAGCTGATGCTTGAGCATCTCTTCTCCGCCAGGCCCTCTGGATGTCTTTGTCCATGTCACATTTTCTTCCTTTCACTTCTATCACCTTGACCCCATTTCTACGCATCTAGCATCTAGCATCTAGCATGTACCCTATCTTTAATCTCACCCCACCCCTGCTCTTTGGCATATAGGGAGCATTAGTAGATTAGAGAATGGGAATATTTCATCCCAATTTGTCTCTTAAGATCAACTACCAGACCACCATATGTGCAGCCATGGTTACCATACAAACTTATAGGAATTTTGGCAAAAGTTCCTAATATGGGTGATTATTCCTGTAAGGAAAGTTGTAAGAACCTTCAAATCCAACATCGTGTTCGGAGAAACATAGCTTTTTTGTGTGTTTTGAAACAGGAATGTTCTTTCAAACTTTGATGAACTTGATTTAATTTCACATTCATATAGCTCATATGAGAATACAGGACATGCTTAACAAATCTATTCACCTGGGGGCATGCTTTCTGTTATCAGGATTTTCAAATGGGCTTAATTAAAGTCCCTCTGCCCTGCACATGTCCTTGCAAAGTCTTGGCACAGGTTTTCACCATCATTTGGATAAGTAAATCAATGCGCAATGTTTCCAAGTTGTGCTTCATCACCTCCAGTCCTCCACCTATTCCTTGATGCTATCCTCATTTAACATCCTCAGAGGCTTCATGTGCCCTGCAGGAAGGAGTCCAAACATTTCCAAAAAGCATTTCCAGTCTTGCCTAGTGTGGCTCAGCTAGGGTTCTCACCTCTAGTCCTTCTCCATCCTGACCACTTGTCACGATTTCAGAATAAATTGATGACTATGAACTTTCTCCACATCCCAGTAGAGTTATTCCCTCTTTTGGCAAAAGATCCAGGTTATCAGAAGGGGCCTGTCACTCTCACCCCTCTGCTGTCATGGACATTCTACTCCTCTCTCTATTAATTCTTATTCACTTTCTCTAAACTCAGAACTTGTTGGCAAACACCATAAGCAAAGGAGGGTCGTGTGCGCATCTGTGTATTCGTGTGTCTGGAGGCAGAGGACAGCATCTGCTGTCATTTCTCAAGCACAATCCACAGTGTTTTTGAGACGGTGTCTTATTGGCATAGAACCTTGCCAAGTAGGCTAGGCTTCTTAGCCAATGACCTGGGGAATCACTGTCTCTGTGTCCCCAGTGTAAATATTCAGTGCTATTATGCCACGTTTTTGTTTCAAGGGGACTTACAAAGATGATCAATAGATGTGCCTTAACTAACTTTGTGAATAAATGAGATGGCAATAAAACTATTACAGTTTACCTGTCTATGAGTGAACTGATACCCAAGCCTGGTAATAGAACTATTTTAGTTCAAAAGTGCTATAATTACTGAAGGCAAACACATATAAGTTGTTTTTATTGCCATTGGTAAGCTTATTTAAATACCCTCAAATAGATACTTGTGATATGATTCATTTCTAGACTAGGATTTCTGCTATAAATCTGTTTATGAGTGCTGATGCAGAATTATTTCAGATTGTGGGGGAAAAGTAAAACTCCATGACAGTCAGGGATACTGCCACTTTCTTTGTAAACCTAGATGTAAACTGGACCATTCTGAGCAGTGATGCTCGTTTTTTGCTTTCTCGAACCAATTTTTAATAGAATTAAATGACAGTGTGAAAGAAGGGTGATTATTTAAAAAAATTGTTGAGGAACTATCTGGAGTGTCCAGTGTTACACTTGTTTTAGAATATTTGACCAGCAGTCCATGATAAAGACACACAAACAGGCAAGGGATTCCCAGTATTAATGTTTTGAAAGAAATTTAGAAATACACAATAAAACGACTGGATTCAGACCTGTTGTTTTCTACACACACAAACTTACAACCTCATTAGTCAGGACACTGTCAGGAAATGGATAGCTCACTCAGAGGTCTTAAGTGAAGGGAGTTTTATAGAAGGCTGTTTGGAGAAGAACAATCAGTTGTAAGAGCATGAGCAAAGGGACCGGAGTGTTAGAAACCAACCAATCAGAAATGATTAGTTCCAAAGCCTGGAGAGGGAGGAGGAGATATCAGGAATCCACACAAGGAGAAGCCCTGGGCAGAAGGCTTATGTTTTGGGGAGGCCAACCACTGCCTATCAGAAAGGATATGAGTTAAAAACAATGCCTTTCTTCCCCTTTTTGGTTTCTACCAATGTCAGTCATCCACCAATGCCCAGAAAGCAAAGCACATAAAAGAGGCAGAGGTGACCAGGCATTAGTGGTACACGCCTTTAATCCCAGTACTCAAGGTAGAGGCAGGCAGATCTGTATGAGTTCGAGGCCAGCCTGGTCTCCAGAGTGAGTGCCAGGATAGGCTCCAAAGCTACTCAGAGAAACCCTGTCTCGAAAAACAAAACAAACAAACAAACAAAAAGAGGCAGAGGTGTTAAAGAGATATAGAAGGTAACTAGAGGATGAATGACACTTGACTGGTATAAAAGGCATTGATAATAAACCCCAGTCAGTAATCTATGCTATGCTGACTGAGTCAGTGAAGGGTTAGTACATGCAATGACAGTTAAGCACTCTAAATGGTTGATTTTATATATTGCTGAGATTAAGCCAGTTTAACCATTCAAATCAGGAAAGATGGAAGATAAGAACCATGACAAGTAGGATTTCATGTCACCCTCCTAGGTTGAAGCAGAAGAGTAGTGATTAAATCTGTTTATTCTACTAAACAATGTGTGAGATTTCCTAAGACATGGGCTGATAGAAAGACATGACCCAAGAATATCAATTAAGTATTCTTGCTTTATCAGTAGAGAAGGCATTGTTTTGGGAAGGAAAGTCTAGTTTTATGTCCCAGTTTTTCATCTGTAAAATGGAGGTGGAAAAATGTATATTCTGGAAGAACTGTAGTGTCGAGAAGATCAAATAAGAAAATGGATTTGGTTTTCTTTTGAAAAGCTTAACAAGCTCTACAAATGTCAGGCCCTATCACTTCTGGATGCTATCTCACAAAGCTGGTCCCTGGGTATGCACTTGCCAATCATCACGTCCTGTCTTTGGACTATCTTCACTTAACACATGGAGCACTTCACTAACTCCAACTGAAACATCACACACAAAGGAAAGATAAGCGGTGAGGAAATCCAAATGTGTTGGCAATACCACTGCATGTTAAAAAGAAAGAACGAGATTCACGTTGAACTTCGTTTCTGCCATGCATAACTCCTCTTTCCATAGGTTCTATTAACTTCAAAGGGAGCTCCGTGCATGTAAATGATTATATTTATTGGATGCGCCAACTCCTTCTTATCCTCCGGGCACAATTAGAAATATCATAGAAAATGAGTGTTAGAGACTTGGATCCATATTTGATATTCTATGGGAAATTTCCCATCGTTACAGATGTTAAAAATCCTGTGCAACAGTCCAGCTATGAATTTGTAGTACTCACCATTTTATATCCTTGGAGTTATTTTTTTGCCTGTGGTTTTAGAATGATCTTTTTTTTTTTTTTACAATAAAAGCAACTTATTCTCTTTATGTCTGTATAGACTGGTGATAGGCTCTTTGCAGATATACAACTTGGTCTAATAGTACAAATTTAGTCTGCATAGGCCCTGTCTCAGGGAACTGGTAGTGCCTCCCTAAGATTAGCCAGCCCATAAACACAGCAACTATGCTCTTGCTTTCATTTCACCTTGGGAACTGCTATTAGAGTCACTGCCTGGATCTACATTCCGGGATGCTCAGTTTAATATTCCATCCCCTAGACTACACTATGATTTCAGGGTTCATTGTAAATTCAGGCATTATCACTATCTTGTTACATAGTGAGTTTTCTCTGGGAGGAATCTCTTGAATCAATGAAAACCCCTTAATGTGTACAGAGCCCCGTGCCTTTGATAGCAATCTGTTGTTTGTTCACACTATATCCAGGAGACTTTCAAGATAATGGAAGTGTCTCCAAGACTGACTGTGACAAAGACCTTAATGTCCTCATTATGTTCTATCAGTAAATATAAAGATCCTATAAATGCTACTAGCCTCAGCAAAACTGTGGGGCATGTGTTTGTGTGTTTATAAATTCATCTAAGAGGACAAGTTAAGATTCAACTGTACACTGCTTTAAAATGTCACATGGAGGGAAAAATGAGCCTTTCAAAATAAATATAATAAACTGCCATGAGAGAATGTTATAATCACATGATGAAAACATCTGTAGTGTAACATACCCACATATAATTGGTGGACTGAAAGATACAAATCCTCCTATAGTGCTTTGATAAGCAATTAGTTACAAAGATCCTTTTCATGCCCACCTTGCACACCAACAAATAAAACTACATCAAAGTAATGTAGGTCCATCTTGAATTGTTCAGAATGAATAAATAAGAAGAGGCTAACTTCAGTAAATATTTATAAAGCAAAATAATCTGAAGTCTATATAGCAATCAAATTTCTAGTGAAAATATGTGTAAGTGGGTTTATTTTGAAAGGAAAAGTCCTACTCCCAGTGTCATAACCAATTAAATTCTCCAGGTAATGACCCCATTTGCATAGCGAGCGGAACCCACAAGTGGGAATTTTAATGGGTACACCACCTGAGTGCAGTAATTGAGAGTGACACAACTTGAACTACTTTTGTGCTTACCTCACTGAAAATTCTACTCAGATTATTTTGAATGTCAAGCTACAAGTCAAATTCCAAGATGATGGATTTGTTCTTTTTTTAAGCACCAAGTTTGAATAAAAGAAATGCATTGCATATCTTTGCTTTAAGTAATCTGTGTTTCTGTTTCTCCCCATTGCTTCATTTTCTTCACTGATTGGAATTTAATTTTGCTCATTAATTTGTGAATAATTAGATAAGAAGAAATAATGTCCTCAGTAGCTAAATTGCTTTTAGATTGCAATTTTATGTACTTTTCCCCTCCAGAATCTATGCTATATAGTTAAACTCACATAACAGTTTACTAAAAGGTAATTGTGTAAATATGTCTAATTATTCTTTCTGATGATCTAACAAAATTTAATGTAGTCAGTATTGTGGGATATTTCACTTGTCCCTTACCCTGATGCTGATAAAACACACTTTCTGTGGAGCTGATCAGAGAGGACTTGTCACCTGAAAGTGTTACTTCTAAGATATTCTCTGTATCTCTCGGGCACTATTCATGTCCTTGAAAGAACTGTGCACTCTGATTGAGGGATCCTATGACGGCAACATTAAATTATATAATAAAGGAGATTTTAAAACTCTAAGAGTCAGACACATGATGAACTGTGCTTTCCAGGTTTTGAGGTGACATTTCAAACCCTCTTTTGTTTCACTCTAAGATTGCTTTCAGTACTGTTTGGAGGTGTTTGACACTACTCCGCCACATCTGTAATTGGCATAGCATCCAGCAGACAGGCTCTGTACATCTTTACACTGCAACCTACCAAGTTAAGAAATGTATTGGTTCAATATAAAACAGCAGGCTGTTTTTAGACATAGTTACTAGTGCACAAGCTTTAATATGGCTTGGCTTCATCCTATAATGAGATCTTTTGGTTCCCTGCTCAACAGACTTTTATTCCTTTGGAAAAGGCTGTGAACTATGTCAAGTGGCTCGGATGCTTTTGTCCACCCTCTTTCTTGGCTTTGGAATGTAATTCCTTTGCTTCTAGCCCTTTATGCATCAGACAGAACTTAAGAACTGTTTCGATTTTTCAAGTTCAACTTAGAATTTCTGTGTTTGAATTTGCTTTTTCCCTATTCTGTTTCAAAGAATAAATTCTTTCTCAACTAAATTTCACAAACGGGGCTGTCTGGTAGTAAATACCTAATTGTAGAGCTATACTTTTCTTTGTCTTCACAGATGCATCTTTAGCTGAAGGTGGCTAATGTGTCAAAAGACAGGTTTCATAAAATGATTTCTTCACAGCCAGATAAATGAATCTGGGTTTGTACTTATCAAATAGAGTAAGGGGAGCATCCAAGATGGAAACAACGCACAAACAACAGAACTAGAAATGTGAGCTACTGTCCAACTGGGAGACATGGGACTCCTTATCTGACAACTGGCTGCCTCTGAGTTTTAGTTGTGGCCTCTGTGGAAAATATGCTGTCCCAGTATGATAAGAACAGTGTGGGACAGGTCTTTGCCCTGAAGGATTCTGGATTTTAGTTGGGGTCTGGTCATGATTTGACCTTCACCTCCAGATTAGCTGCTGTTGTCGCTAAAATTTGATCTTATAGGAAGTATGTTCAGACATCAGACCTTATTTTTTAAAAAAATTTATTTATTTATGAGGGAGAGAGGCTTCATGAGTTTCCGTGAACCATGTGCATACAATGGAGGCCAGAAGAGGGTGTCAGATCCCCTAGAACTGGAGTCACAAAGGTGGTTGTTAGTATCCTGGTGTGAGTGCTAATAACCAATCCTAGATCCTTTTGAACATGGGTGCTCTGAAAGAGCAAGAAGTGCGCTCAGCATTAAGCCCCAGAGACATGGATATTTTAAAGTAAAAGGTTCTTCCACTGTTCACTGGGAATTTTGCAGTGGTAAGGTACATGGTAAATTTAGTAACCAGTGATCATTTCTGCTAAACCAACTTCCATATTAGGGCTGTACCACAATGCCATTGTTCCCATAACTTTTTAAAATTTTAAACCAAGCCTCTAAAAATAATCTTAAATAGTTAATCATTAACGAAGCCTCTCTGAGGAGTTAATGTCTTCCTCAGAGATGTCAAGCTTCTTCCTTGGGTTGAAACTTCCTGAGCATCATGTCATTTCCTTGGGATACCTAGTACCAAATCACACACATACAAAAACACTCACAGAGATGAACACTGCAAGGAGTCCCCAGCAATAACAAGCACTTGGTTGAAAACATAAGTAGATGTGAAGGAAACCCTAGCAATATATTAACCATTGTTTCAAAAAAAATTGCATGCTACTGCATTAGTGTAAGAGAAGGAGAAAAATAAAATTTGATGAAATCTTATTGTCTCTCAGATTAGATGAAGCAATCCTGTGGACCTATAATTCACAAGTAATTGAAAAGGAGGAAGGTTTTTGAAGTGTTAAATTAAAAATTATCTTAGCAGTGTTATTAATATATTATTAAATATTAATTTTATATTAGTAATATTAGTAAATGATTGATTAGGAATACGGATAAACCTAACCACTAAGTAGAACTGCAGAAAGCAAGCCGTACACTTCCTTGGCTGGAGCCATGTTTGTTAGACAGGGATGTCTGGTGTATAGAACTTTAGCATAGAGATTTTATGGATAGAGAATGGAAAGTTATTGCATGGATTGTCTTGGCCACTCTTTGATCTGTTCAGATAACACCTACTGTTTAGATGAGGAAAGTTGTTATACTGTAGAGACACACAGCTATTTGGGAGAGGTACTGATAGGAGGGGACGAAGGGGAGGGGGCAGTCAAGATGCATTGTATGGAAAAAAAATTCTCATGAATATTTTACACCACTGTTTCTGTTAAATCCCAACTCCAAAACATCTCCAAATATTTGCCATAGTTGTCTTAGGTAGAAAGACTTCTGACAATGGAGTTTTGCATAAAATTCATTAAAGATAATACCCAATTTTGTAACTTGGAAAACTCACGTTTGCCATTCGGTGCCAGCATATACACAATAGCTTCTTTAGTTTCATAAATTAAAATGAATTCCTTAGATGAATAAATGAAATCAGTCTACTGAAACAGTAAATACTAGGGGGTCATTCAGGACTAATTCCAGCACTTGGGAGGCTGAGGAGGGGGACTTATTTGGCTTTGACATTACAGTGGGCTATATAGTGAAGTGCAAGCCAAACTTGGTTTACTGGATGAAATCTTATCTCAAAAAAAGAAAGAAACCAGGGAGGGAAGAATGGGAAGAGGGAGGGAGAAAGGTGGCAGGAAGAGAGAATGGAGAAGATAAGGAAGGGAGAAGGATGGTGGAGGAAGAGCAGGGAAAATAAGCTTATATTTTACATGCTGTGAATATTCAAAAGAACACTGTATTTTGATAGCAGGGCAGCGATGACTTGTGGATAAAATATCCCATAGCTTTCTCAGTTCATTACTGGGCACGAGCCTTGAAGTTTACATAGAGAGGTTGGGAAAGAGAGACTAAGAAATTTTTCAGAAAGAGATATGAAAGGGTAAAGAAATTCTTCAGGTTTTACATTATCATTGAAATAATTTAAACATAAGACAACTAACATATTAATTACGTACAAAAGGGTCTTGGAGCACAATAAAGAATTAATTTTTTTAATTTTACAATATCCAAGATAATACAGCTCCAGTTTGAAAATATTTAAAAGTGATGAAATGTCTAACTGTAAACTATAGCAATTAGTCTTGACAGCCATAGGATTCAACAAAACACTACATACCAGAATCCTAAAATATATTGAAACTGTTTCACATTTGCCTATTTTTCTTTTGAATTATACAAGATGCCTTAAGGAATGGCTTGCCTGGAGTAGACAGCTGAAGAAAAGTCCTATGTGTACAAGTATGGAAATTAAATTCTGGTATTCACCAATGCTCTGTATTATGGAAAAACATTTCAAATCACTAACATTTTCATTGCAAATCATAGCAGGGTATATTCGAGCATCAGACAAACGTATCGGTTAAACAATTTTACAGTATAATGAGTCAAATATTCTAATAATCATTAGGAGGCTTATCTACAAACAGATGCTTTTCTTCATCCTATGGCATAAGCACAATCTAACGATGGGTATAGGAAATATTAAGGTTCCCATTATAGTTGGCATAACAAATGAAGAAGGCAGTTGTATATTAGCATCGTATTTAAACCAACATTTTAAAGTGAATGCATGCATAAATTGCACTAGAAGGGAGATTCACTTGCATTCCTTTTTCAAAGAATATTTTAAATAATAATTTAATTATAAGCTAGGTTACTCTCAGTGGAAAAATGGGCATTCTCTTTCCTCATGTGAACACAAAACAAAACAAAAGCTCAGGTCTCCTAAAGGCCTACAGGTCTAGCTTGGCTAAAAGCTTCCTAACAATGCATTGTTTTCATCTGGAACTGGAAAGAACCCCTAAACCAAATATTCTTTCAAGAGCCTACAAAGAATTAGTCAATGTAACCAAATTATAAATTTGAAGAGAAAACAAAAATCATAGGAGGGTGTGTGTAAAACCAACCGCTCGCTTTCTTTCCTATGAGCTGACTTCATCACTATATAGTTAGTCTTGCCACAGACATACTTCTATACACTTTTAGTGTCTTTATAACCTGACAAATTGGCATAATTCAACACACAATTGGAATACTGATACCTGGTGGTGATGCTGGACATCTGAGCTCCCCTGTCGTGGATCCAGGATGTACAAGCTTGGGAAATACAAGACTGTGGCTACAAGTCAACCAAAATAAATAGAACCCCCTTAAACACCCCCACAGAAAGAATCCAATCTTTTAAATATAAGCAAGCTTTGGAAAAACCCCAAATCAGAATACTGGGATTTTTTTTTAACCTAAAAAAAAAAAACTAATTTAAATGAAAGTTGTTAAAAAGTGTTCTACATTTTTGGTAAAATATAGTTATGTTAACAAGGTATTATGTTTTCATTAAAATTTATAACACTTAAATTATGTGTAGGAAAGTGCATATTTGCATGAGTTTCGATTTTATAGTTTTAAGAAAGCTGTGTTGTAGAAATGTGCAGTGAAGGCACATTCTTTTTACTTGTTCAGAACACAGGCAGCTTGGGCCACCGACCTTAAACTTTTTCCTAAATTGAAGTAGCTCATCCTAAGGCATTCACAGTGCGACATCCTCCTTCAAGCTTTCCTCAAAAACCCGTTCTTCTCTTCTATTTGTTCTTCTGGCCTCTTTCCTTTCCAGTTCTGACGCCAGCATGCCTTCTGCTTCACTCTTTACAGCTCCCATTCCAACTCCAGTCTTTACAGCTTCCCTACACTGAATGCTTCTCTGAGAGAGAGCACAGTGACCTCACTCAGTGCTCTCTGGGTACAACACTGGAGGTGGAAAGCACACAGAAGAAACCAACATGGAAAGTCCCACATCTGTTTGTAGCTCTGCCCAAGGTGTGTACTTACTTAGAATAAGGAATGTTCACTTTTTAACCTCTAATAGATACATATCAAAGATAAGTGATCTGGTTTAAATACCTACAGAGCGATGTTGTGTTTAGGGCAAAGAGCTGCTGAGAATGATAAGGAGAAACAGATAGAAGACATACAACCTTGTTGGCTGAGTGTGTCAAAATGTCTTCCAATTATTATCATCTACGAAGAAGCTTCAAAAAAAAACCAGTTAGTCAAAACTTCACATATTAAACCACATAGATCAAGTGAAAGAAAAAGAATTTCAGAAATTACTTAAAAATAATGAGTTAACAGTGCAAACACTGAGTTGCTTCATGAGAATCTTACCATGTGTTTTTCTTTCCCCTACAAGAAATATTGTAAAATTGTCTCCAGTTTTAATACAAACAAAAGGTAAATCTTTATGAAGGAAAACAGATGCCACAGCATTCCATACAGATTTCTAAACAGTCCGAGGATTCACAACAGGCATCCATGATGCCACAGTCCATGTCACAAGGGCAGTTGCAGTCATTGCCCATCTCGTCGCCACAGCAGCAGCAGCAGGCTTCGGAAGTGCAGATGCCACATGAAGCTTGTCCCAGGACAATATTGCAGAGGGTCAGGAATTCACAGAACAAGCAGGCCAGGATACAGTGGACACAACAGTCTTCATTCACAGGCCAGAGGATAGCACATAGTGGAGAGAGAAGGAACACAAAATACATACATCATCCAGAAACTGGGAAAAAAAATCTGGTCCAAGTTACAGCTCAAATGATACACAGTCCTAGACTTCTGTTGTTGATTGTGAGCTAGATGTTCAACAAAGAGCTCAAGTTATATTCTAGAGGAGTGACCTCTAGATGTAGATGCTGGGCTAGAAAAGTGAGCTGTGATTGTGTGCATGGCTGTGCATGTGTGTTGGATTATCACTCTGACCCACTGTGTCTTGGCTCTTGGTCCCAGGTATTATGCTTCTGTGTGTTTTACCAATTGTTCCTACAACCTACTGTTCTTGGTAACACTCTGCTGAAATAAATTTCTAAAATAGAAAATGTGTTCATTTGTTCCACACATAGGCTTCAAAACTGGAAAGAAAATACATGAAAATATTAGACATATGAATCATTAATTCAATATTTAAACTAGAGTCCATTAAACTACAATCTGCATGTTTTCTTTTCCAATCAACTCACTTTCATTTTTCTTTTTATGTTACAAAAACATTTTAAGAGAAACAGTAAGACTCTCTAGTTGGGTCCAACTATAATTACCCGTTTTATGTACTTCTAACAAGAGGGATAGTAAACACCAAAAATGACATAATGGCTTTACCCCTTCCTTTGGTGACAAAGTAGTTTAATCTCTACCATTTCTTTATGCCTTTCTAAATAGCACTGTATTTCATAAACTGATAGGAAAAATAAACCCAAAAGTCACATACTATATTTATTATATATACCACAAAATGATTTCTTTAAAAATTTGGGACAGTTTGAAGGATTCATTGGTGGAAACAATTTATCAATTCCTTAACGTATGTAATAGAACCATATGACTAATATTTGAGACATCTGCCCAAGATCCAGGATATTTATACTTTTTATAGTACACACTTCGGGTTATTCTATGGATTTTATGCTGATTAGTTTGTTTACATGTTTTGTACAATGTGATTTGTACTGTACCGGGGAACAAGTCCACAATTTCATGATTGCTGGACTAGTGTTCTACCCTAAGCTCCATCAAAAATCTTCAGTAGAGTATCAGCCAATTCTGGGAAAACCAAAGGATACAGGGAATTTCCAAACACAAAAAGTTTGCTAAATGGTTGGCCTTGCTGTCATAGAAAAAAGTACTCCTTGCTCTGCAATGGTGCTATTCTACCAGTAGCTGTGACCTGACAGAACTATTCCATCACTAGTGTTACAAGTGTTTCTGCTGAGAAAAAGCCAACAGGAACATTTTACTTCCACAAACCTATCACTGGCATCCCAGTGTCAGTTTCCCAGACCAAGGAAGAGGTCAGTTTCTCTTCAGTGGAGTATTTGGAGGGCACCTGAAATAATGTCATGAAGGAGATGGGTCAGAACACTCAGAAGATAAACTCCAGAGCTGACTGTGATACTCAAGACTAACAAGACACCCCTTCTCTTTTATTAGTTTTCTTTTCTTTCTTTTTTTTTTTTTGTTTGTTTGTTTGTTTTTTCGAGACAGGGTTTTTCTGTGTAGCTCTGGAGCCTATACTGGTACTTGCTCTATAGACCAGGCTGGCCTTGAAACCACAGAGATCCGCCTGCCTTTGCCTCTTGGGATTAAAGGCGTGTGCCACCAAAGCCTGCCTTTTAAGAGTTTTAAGATGCCAAGCCCACTCACATGAAATGCTTATGCAGAAACTGAAAATAGATTAGAGTTGTGAGAATTTACATCTCTCCCATCTTCCCATAATAGCTGATTTTTATTTTGTAGTATCCAAACATTTCAAGAAACTTTTTTTGTTGTGACAAAAGAATTTAAAGAAAAACACTCAATGTGAGTGTTTAGACAATGAGAGTCTGAAGTCCACATGGCCTTATAAAGTTCCTGGTATGTAGAGCAGCTTTGGGTGGGTTCTTCTGCCAATTCTTCCTGCAAGTCTTTGTTGCTGGAGTTTTCTTTCCAGCCTAGTTTCACAGCCTCTTTGCCCCAAATAAACACATGGATGATATATTAAGTATAAACTGTTGGCCAATGGCTAGGGCTTCTTGTTGGCTAGCTGTCTTAATTATTAACCCATTTCTATAAATTTATGTATTTCCACATAGTCTTTGTTTACCAGAGAATGCCCAGACCTGTTACTCCTTTGTGGTCTACATGGTGTCTCTTCACGGTGCCTCTCTGCCTACCTTTCCCAGAATTCTCCTTGCCTCCTACTCCTGCCTATTCTCCTGCCTCTATTGGCCAAAAAAATGTTTTATTAATCAACTAATAAGATAAATATAAAGCCATTCCCCATCACATATTCATCCCAGTTTCCATTTGATAGTTCTTTGTTCATTTGAATTTTTTTTCAGGATGATATTATCATTAAAATTTGTAAAATATTTGAAAAGTTATAGAGAACTACTTCATAATTAAGAACATAGTGCCAAGGGCTCCATGTGATGCTGAATGCCTATAATCCAGTCATTGTCAGGGGAAGATCATAAGTTAAAGGCCATCCTATGCTGCATAATGAAAATTAACATAGTGTTTAAGTGGCAGCATCTCAGACCTATTTAGTGACTATTCAAACAATTGCACACACTGAGCAATTTCAACATTTCATTGAGAACTTACTTTTTATTCTACTATCAGAATGCTTAAATTTCAAAAATGAGAAAGGAAATTCATGCATTTCACTGAGTCTTCCTAATACTAGAACATTGCTTGGGCATATAGCTTCCTTACTTGTGAATCATAAAATATGTCACACATAGAATCATTTGTGTGTGATAAATCTATCAAATAAAAAGAGGGAAAGGGGAAAGAGTGTTTGTCCAATTGATCATTATATCTAGAGAGTTATGCCAAACATAATGGGGTCTGTACAATCCTAGTAGTTATTAGATTGAAGTAGGTGGGTGGCAATGATTTCCAGGCCAACATGGGCTACAGGATGAGGCCCATTCTCAAACAGAAGGCAAAATGAAACAAAACAAAACCATTGACCCCTGAAAAAAAACACGGGTTATAATAGGAGCTGTGTGATTCTATTCAAATAAATGTCATCCTGCATGAACTCCAATGAGCAGCATGATTTTCTCAGAGCCATTTGAAACATTTCTACCTTGACTCATATGGCTCATTTTCCTGTTTAGCATCCTAGTCAATGAACACACACCAATTTACCATTGCAAATCTGAAAATATTTTGTCTGCTCCACTAAGCATGGCTTTTGGAGAAAAGTGCATGCAAGTTTCTCAGAACACACATATTAAATAAGTAGCTGGAGGATACTGAGGTTATGGGATCGAATACATTCAATAGTATTGGGAAATAGAATTGGAAACTGTTTCTCCTAAGCAACTGCTCCATGGTTTATTCCTACTAACAAAGCAAGAGCTCATCCACATTTCTATCAATCATTGAAACTGTCTCAATTTTCCATATGACAAGTGGTTGAGTTTGACACAGTTCCCCCAAAGAGGTTTATTTTGCTTTGGCTAATATGGACTGTTTTCATTTCTGTTGGTATTCAGGTTTCTTCTTCATGGAAATGCATTTTTAGTGGGTTCACGCTGTTCCGCACATTTTGCACTTTTTTCCTCATTGGTTAGCATTCATGTTTTATACATTCAAACTACAAAGCCCATTGTGAAAAGGGATTGACCTCTCAGTGTATGACATGCATTGGTTAAAATAAAGCAACCAAATGGAGAGTGGGCCTAATCTGTAGACTTTGAGAGTTTTAGGGGTTGATAGCAAATGCCATTCAAATCTTAGAGTAGCTGGAGATACAAGATCACATGGTCAAGATGGTGAAGTGCAGCAGACAAAATGAGAAAAAAAATAGAATGAACAGATGGATAGGAATCATTGCCAATATTTGGTAGAAGAATCAAATGAGAAGTTTCAGTGTTTCTACTTTACTAAAGCCCCAGCGAGTAGATGGGCAAAACAAAATGGTCTTGCATTTTTGTTTTCTTCTTCTTCTTCTTCTTCTTTTGGGAGGGGGGCAGCAAACAAGGTCACAAGGGTGGCAGCAGACCTGGGAGGACTGTGAAATGAGTATGACCAGGGTGCATGATATAAAACTCCCAAATGATGAAAAATATTGTGTTGGAAAAACAAAAGAATTGACAGTCAAAGTGAACCTTCAAGTCACACTGAGTTGCATGACTGATAAACTGCTAGCCACATTGTAAAATAGATGTAAGAGAATGAGCATCCTAGAGATGATGCCTTAGTTAAAAAAATGAATCCGGAAATCCCAAAACATAGAAATTCATATCCACTTGCATGAAAAAGACCAGAGATGTTATAAAAGAAGAGCAGGGGGAAGACCTGACAAAGACAGACTCCTTGAAAGTTGAAGTTATTTACAGGAAAATGACAATTCACTAAACTCATCATCACCCAAAAGGCATGGATCCTACACGGTTTACTAGGGAGCCATCAGAACTAAGAAAACAAACTAAAACCCAAATACACCCAAGCACTTTGGAGCCTCTAAAACACAAACAAAGAAAGCCATATACTAACAAGCACCTACGAAAGCCACAAACCAAAACTTGTAACTATTAGAGTGATCTCAGATAAGATAGTTGCACAAGTGTGCTCATCTTCTACTTGCCAGAGTTATAAAAGAACCGATCTCTAAAATCTAGCACATCAACTACACAGTCATATTTATTAATTGCCAAAAGGGTTTTTGGTTTTCCAAAATTATGATTCAGCATAATGAAAAAGCTCACAGAAACTGAGCACAAAGAGTTGTGTCAGTACGTATGACTATCTAGAGGAGTCAAAGGCCACCCGAGACATTAACATGGTGGGAATTATGAATCAGAAATTGATAGTAAGAATTATCGTTCCAGTGTGGTAGAGCATGCCAGAAAGCACCATATCTGGGAGGTGGAGCCAGAGGTCAGGAGTTCCAGAGTAATCTTGGCTGTAGGAGAACAATGCCTCCAAACAACAAACCAC